GCATCTTAAATATTTTATTTTAAGTATTTTATTTCTGTGCCATCTTTATTCAGGAATTGGGCCATGTGGACCCACCACAATTACACTAGTTATGCAAAGACAACTAGGCACACCTAGTTAAAACAAATGCAATCTAGTAACAACAGATCTGCATACGGGTAACAGTAAGGGAAAGCTCTCTGTATAATACAGCGCAGTTCAAGAGCAGAACTAACTTCCAAAATGATCATACAGTTGAAACAACACCTCTCTGAAATGGTCTGAACACAAACTGAACATGATCACCTTCCTGAAGGAGGAATTATTGCAGGACCCTTGAATTAGACTGACTTAGTGTTAGCTAGGTGGACCTAAACTGATCAACTGGATCAAACTCTGACTGCCTTAACTAATGCTACATTTTCTGTCACCATGTATCTTTAACAAAGTTTAGTTGGCTATTAATTGGTAGCCTGAGTGAAATGTACAAATTCTGTAGTTAAAGTTTTGACAGGGAGCAGTCTGCACAGCAATTCTGCTGATTGGATACTGCAGTGGAACAGTACTGCCATCTACAGTACACTGAGAAACAATGACAGAACCATTCATGTTTTAGTAAAGATTTTTTGACAACAATTAGTAATCATTTAGTTCACATAGACAATCAATGCCATGTTTTTATAATGGAAATGAAAAGGATCCACAGTTTTTCTATTCAGTAATGTATTTACCATCACTGATGACATAAATAAGCACAGCTGTAGCAGTGTTAATTGGAATACATGAAGATTCTTGTGTCTGTATTGCACACGCATGGACCAAGAGGTAGAAGAAAGTTTACCAGTCACATACCAGTCAAAGTATCTTTAATGTCAGAATCGGAATTGGAATCAGAATCAACATTGTTTGTCTCTCAGTGTGTATGCACAACGTTCTTATGTAAAGCAACAAATAGAGAGGTAAACAAGGGCTGAGAGGACAAAAAGAAAAGAAAAATAATGTGCAAAAGAAATGCTTATTAGGAAAATAAAAATTAAAGTGCTTATAAATATAGAAATATATATACACACAGTTTAGGTGCAGTTTTCCAGATAGATAGGTGTATTTACAAGGTATTACACTGATGGCCCGGGGGGGAGAAACTATTCTTGTGTCTGGTTGTTTTGGTGCACAGTGACTTGTAGCACTGACCAGAGGGGAGGAGCTCAAACTGTTTGTGTCCAGGATGTGAGGGGTCTGCAGTCCTGTCTGTCCGCTGGAGTCTGTTCCTGTCCTGTTTGGTTGCTGAGCCAAACCAGACAGTGCTGGAGGTGCAGAGAACAGATTCGATGATTCGTGTGTAGAACTGAGTCAGCAGCTCCTGAGGCAGGTTGAACGTCCTGGGCTGGTACAGGAAGTACATCGTCTGCTGTGCCTTTGTTGAATATCCACTTCAGGTCCTCGGAGACAGTGGAGCCCAGGACCTGAAGGGCTCTACTGCTGATACATTGCTGCTAAGTATGGTGAGGGGGGGTAGGGTGGGGTCTCTTCCTAAAGTACACTGTCTGACCACACCACAGGACCAGCTGTTCAACTTCCCATCTGTAGACTGACTTGTCACTGTCTCTCAGATAAGACCGATAACAATTGTGTCATCTGCGAACTTCAGGAGTCTTACAGAGGGGTTCCTCTGAGGTGCAGTTGTTGGGATAAAGGGAAAGTAGACTCACCTGCTGCTTCTTGTCTGTCAGAAATCTGGTGATCCACTGACAGGTGGGGACAGGCACAGTGAACATCTGGAATATGAGACTTTTACTTGTAACAGAGTTTTTTTTACACTGCTATATTGTTACTTCTACTTAAGTTAAGGATATGAGTACCTCTTTCACCACTGCTGTTTGAACAAGGGATGATATGGATAAGCCAAAATAGCCTCAACCTTCCTACAAATGTGCTTTTTAAAGATGTCAGAAAGCTGGGCTTGGCTTATCCCAGTAATCTTGCTTGACATCCTGATAAGACAAAAGTCCGCTTTTGTTGGATGAGCTAAGATTGCCGTAGCACACAATACAACAAAGAAAAAACACAACAGATTCAATAAAACTACAATAAAACAGAATTATCATGGCTCCACAAACATTAACAAAATTCATTTTTCTAGTTTAAGTGTTGTTGTGGTTTCCTATGCAGTTCCCTCTGCTGCAGTGGTGGTAAGTAGGATCTTGAGGGTATCTGTATAAATTTCCATTCTCTCCACCCGTATTTTGCATCCCTAAACAGGAACGGCTTAAAATACATATTCCATGAAACCAAACACCCAAATTCCAATAGTGTTGCGTTTCTTTTTTTTTCTCCAGTTCAAAACCCATTGCAACTCCTTAGTAACTATGATCACACCCCTAAGATGTGAGACTTAGATTTGAAATTGTTAGGTGTACTCTTACTGTATACTATGTGAAGTGTGGGACTAACCACTTGGCCTAAATAAACAACTTGTATATTGCTGGGCTTGTCACAGTATTTCTAAATTGAAAATTACATTGGCAAGTATGGTAATCAGAAATATTTACAAGGATTTTTCTAAAGCTTTGGTGATTCAAATTATTTTTTTGTGCTAAAAAAACATTTGAAACTTGAAATCTGAACACAGAAAGCAGTGTTGCGTTAGGTGGATTCCGGAAATTATTGCCATTTATTGCCATTACCTCTGTCTGTACAATGTACTGTGTTTCATTGGCAGGCGCTTAACAACGGTGGAAGGATCAACAAAGTAGAAGCATGTGAATTTAATAAATGGAAACAGTAGAAGATGCAGATGATAAAATTAGAGCAGTGGAATACTCAGTATGACATGAATGTTTTTGTACTGATGGACTGAGTAGAATGCAAATGTCTATTATGTTTAAATTGTAGTACAGGTCATTTCACACAACCTCAATGCTTTTTGCCAAGTCTTTTTTAAATACTGATTTTTATTTGTGAGCCATTATTTAAATACAGGCTTTTTATGGAAAATGTTGTCAGCATTACTCAAACAAAACCTTATACGAGACCATGTAGGCATCACTATAGGCGTGAAGCATCTGGTCCACAGGGCTGTAATTCAGGGCATAAATGTTGGGAGCCATCTTGAAGATGAAGATGCCGATGTTGAACCTCTCTGCCCCTGTCGCAGTGTCAAAAGAATAGAAGATCTCCTCTGTGCCCTTGTTGACATATCGTGTGGCATAGAGCACGCCACAAGCCATGAAGGTGTTGGTCACTGCCTGCTTGTAGACCGAGGTGTGCCAGGTTTGGCCAAGACTCAGCGGTTCACCCTCCTCCACCTTGGACAGCACCAGGTTGCCAAAGTCCTGGGTGGTGGTGTAGATCACCCATACACCAGACTCATCTGTTGCCAGGTCCATGTCAGTGAATGGGTAGCATTCCTCAAGATGGCAGAAGTTACCCTTTGAGTTAAATCTGACCAGACAGGGGACAGACGTGATGTTCAGTTTATGGGCTTCTCCTCATATATAGACATACACATATATACTGTTTAGGCATTAAATGCGAACACAAGACACTGAGCCCATGTATGTTAGTGCAAAATTCAATTTTTTAAACCTCTTAGTTCATGCTTCAAAACTGTTCTAGAGTATATTCATTTACTTGGACTCGCTGTCTGTCATCAATAAAACATTAACTTAATTCAGTTATGAATGAACTTAAAGACAAAGTTGAGCAGCGAACCTGGTGCCTTTAGGTAGTTGTAAGGTGGTAACCGTTTTGGTGGTGAGGTTGAATCGACAAACAGCATCTTGGTTGTAACAGTTGTAGTACAGGGCCTCTCCATACATAACCACATTAGGACCCTGGATAGTGTTGGTGGTTGGGTTAGTGGAGTGGATCTGGACATTACCTGGAACAAAAAGAAGAAGAGGAGTGGCTATACAGTAACCATAAATAGCATTTTTTAGGTGCCTTGCAATGCCATAAAATCTAACAATGAATTGATCTGGATAAATAACTATTACACTGGCCTATGACCAAAATGCTTTTGAGACAAAAATAATGACCTTTTGCTAATTCTGGGCCACTGAAAACAAAAATGAAAATTGTTGATTGACTCTGGTTTGTAAAATATGGCTCTGGCAATGTGTGAATTTTGCTTGTAAATGGTCAAACTGTCAAATTACAGAAGGAGGTTATAACCAAAAACTCTGGGTGGATCTGATGACAAATCAATTTGCTTTTGATACAACAAACTTCTCAGGTGAAACACTAGTCTTGTGTTGTGTCTTAGGCAGTACAAGTCAGACATTTTGTTTAACTAAGGCACTTACTTCACTTACTTATTGTAAAACAATGGCACTTCTTTACCTGGGACGCTCACCCCAGCAATGAGAGAGCTCTTGCTGGAGTAGCGACGGACATAGTTTGAGTATCTGTTGCCGGAAGTCATCACTACCAGCCAATACCATCTCTCCTTCCCTGCCTCCGGTTTGGGATCCTGACCCCAGGCTCCATACTTGTGGGAGTTACCATACTCTGATAGTGTGTTCACATCGGGCTCAGTGATGTTCACAAACTGACCATGGGGACAGCCACCTGAGGGGAAAATGCAAAATGAATCAGGGAAAAAACTGTACAGCTGGTTGAGAGGCACATTCACTGGTTGACAATTACTCTCTAATGGTGGTGAGAGCCTCCTACAGTTTCCTGATCATTTATACGCGATTAAGGAGGGCATTTTACAGATGTGAGTGGCCTCAGCAGATGTGCACCCTAAAGCCAGTTTCCTGGAGCAACTTCAGAAAAATTATGGTATTGAGAAATTATGAATGAGAAATGTTAGTAGCAGATTTTACCACTGTCCTCTTCATCACAGTGATTTACATACTTATGGTTGGTACTTATAAATTTAATCACTTTTATTGGCCAAGTCTCAGGTACAGAACCATGGCAGCCATCTGTGGCGTCAACACCACAGATGGCGCTAATTTGTCATTACGTTAACCAGGTTTGAAAACCTGAAAACAGGCTTTTTGGAGTGTTAAAAATAAAAACACTGACTCAATGTACAGTAGATATAGTAAGTATTCAGACCATTTGTTATGACACTTGCAATTGAGCTCTGGTGCACCCTATTCTTATCAATGGTTCTACAGCTTGATTAGAGTCCCGCCGTGCCTAATTTAATGCACTGGATAAATGTAGAAAAGGCACACACCTGTCTATATAAGGTCTCACAGTTGATGTTGTATGTCAGAGTGAAAACAAAGCCATGAGATCGAGAGAACTGTCCAAAGATCTGCGAGACAGAATTGTGTCAAGACGCAGATCAAAAAAAGGATACAAGAAAATTTCTGCAGCATTGAAAGTGGCCAAGAGCACAGTAGCCTCCATCATTCTCAGCATCAGGCTGTGATGGTGTTTTTCTGTGACTGGGGCTGGGAGACTAGTCAGGATAAAGGGAATTATGGATGCAGAAAAATATAGAGCAAATCTTAGGATCTCAGGCTGGGGTGAAGGTTTACATTTCAACAGGACAACGACCTGAAGCATACAGCCAAGAAAACACAGGAGGGGCTTAAGGAAAACTTTGAAAATCCTGGGGTGGCCCAACCAGAGTCCAGACCAGAACCCAAAAGAACATCACTGGAGAGACCTGAACATGGCTGTGCATCAATGCTCCCCATCCAGCCTGGTTGACCTTGAATGATTCTTTTGGAAGAAAATTCCAAAAGAAAGGTGCTGAGATTGCAGCATTATTCTCAAGAAGACCTGCGGCTGTCATTTTAACCAAGTACTAAGTGAAGGGTTTGAATACTTACATGCGGGTAAATGAGATATTTCAGTTTTGTTTTTAATAAATTTTCAAAACACAAGAAAATTGTGTTTTCACTTTGTCACTATGAAGTATTGTGTGTTGATTGATGAGAAAAAATGGAGGCCTGGACCCGACTGTGTAAAGTGCCCTGAGATGATGGTTGTGAATCGGTGCCATACAAATACAATAATAATAATAATAAACTTTATTTATATAGCACTTTACAACTCCAAAGAGCACAAAGTGCTGCACAGTGGAACATATGTATCAACTAAAAAATACTAAAATCAGTCCAAAAACACATGATTATAAAATCCTAGCAATATAAAGTTTCATCAAAATAAAATAGTATAAAACAACAAGTTAAACCATGTCCCTTTGGGGCAGATAAAACGGATTAAACACCAAAAGCCTGTTTAGAAAGATGAGTTTTTAAAGTAGACTTATAGACTGAATCCCAGGCGGTAATGAATTCCAGAGTCTGGGACCATAGACAGCAAATGAGCGGTTGCCCCATTTTTTAGGTCGGGCCTAAGGACAAGTGCTCAACGGAGCGCAGGGTTCGGCGTGGAGCATAGATAGATAGCAGCTCTGACAGATATGGTGGGGTGAGGCCATGTATAGCTTTAAAGACAAATTGCAGCATCTTAAAATCAACTCTCCATTGTACTGGCAACCAATGCAGTGAAAAAAGAACGGGGTAATGCAGGCATACCTGGGAGTGTTTAACAACAGCCGAGCGTTTTGAACCAGTTGAAGTTTCTGCAGCACAGACTGAGAAACACCAACGTACAAGGCATTGCAATAGTCTAATCATGAGGTAATAAAAGCGTGGACTGCTTTTTCTAAGTCTCCACGCGATAAAAAAGGCTTCACCTTCATTAAAAGTGGAAAAAACTGGTCTTGACCACAGCCCTAATCTGCTTATCAAAAGTAAAGCTGTTATCAAATATTACTCCAAGGTTTCTCACCATATTTATAGGTGAGGGGGCAGAGGCACCTAAGCTGTATAACAGTGTCACTGGATCAGGGCTGATAACAATATATTCAGTCTTATTCTCATTTAAGTGAAGAAAATTTTGGGCGAGCGATTTCTTAACATCCCGAATACAGTTATGCAATGGAGTAAGTGCATTTGAGTCGGATAGTACCAATGGCATATAAATCTGGATATCATCCACATAAAAATGAAAATGAAGATTGTGACTTGATATGATTGAAGCAAGTGGTGACATATATAAAGAAAAAAGTAATGGAGCCAAAAATAAAATGGCCTCTGATGATGGGTGTCATTTTGATGGAGATTATGGTCTGTTCACATCAAGTAAAATATTAAGCAAGTCATTTTGAGTACAAATTAGACTAAATCAGTTTTCTGTTGGTTTACACAATGTACCCAGAAAAACAATTGCTGCATGAATAGATTTTTTCTTAATTTCTCTGGAAAGTAAAAGACAAATAAAAATAAATCTCACCACTACACCATGTGAAGAATGATTTTAGGACTTACCATGTGGAGGCTGAGTCGGTTGGCTGGTGGGGTAAAGTCCTTTCAAGCACTGGCCCAGTTCCCTTTGCAGAAGCTTGCTAGCTTCTTGTCTCTTCACCACCTGCATGGTGTCATACTTTTCCAGCTGTTCCATCTCGGCTTTGAGGTCCTCGACCTGAGAGACAACAGCACAGCAGACATCACAATATACATGCTGTATGTGAAGTAATTTTTCAACTGAGGCCTGCAGAAATTTGAAAACTCTTTTACATGATCACCTGTTCAAAATGCAGAGGCACATGAGAGTGTTAGCAGCCTTGTGTAGCAAGGCTACAAGTGTTTGTTTTCCCCTGGTGGAACAACTGAAGTGCTGTCTATATTTGGGCAGTTCATGGGTGAGATTTGCTCTGATAAAATCCCTTAGAACGATGAGTGGAGTTGTCCATTTGTCCGTATGTACATCCACGCCGATGCTTGTGAACATGATATCTCAAGAAGACCTTGAGGGAATTTCTTCAAATTTAGCACAAAAATCTACATGGACTCAAGGGTGAACTGAGATTCTGGTGGACAAAGGTCAAAGTCAGTGACCTCAGGTCTGTCCATTACTGTGAATTTGACTAGTTGGCGGAGGCATACAACTCAGAAGTGGTAATTCTAGTCTTAAGGTTACATTGTTCTGTTGTCTTACAGAATACACTTAAGTAAAATCTATTTTACTCTTATTGCTTTTATCATGTTTTTATTTACATATTTGCTGCATATTTTTTACATATTGAGGTAATCGAAAAGTAACAAAGTCATCAAGTTGCTGTAATATTGTGATACTTAGATTATGTTACTGAATACATTTTAACAGGTAATTTATAACTGTATCCAAATAAAATTTTAAAGTAACCCTCCCAAACCTGCGCATAAGACAACATTGGAAACATTGTTTCTTGCAAGTCCAGTATTAAGCTAGGCTAATCACGGATCTTTTCTATTTGTCATTGGGCATTGAACAGGTAGTGAACACTAAGCCTATTTTATTTTATTTTAAAGACTACAGCTGTATGCTGCTGGAAACTGTACTGATGGTAGCTGTGGGAGTGTATCAAAACCCAAGGTGTAGTTGTGGGGTGTAAAATCAAAACTATGAGCTGAAAAAGATAAATAAATAAAGATGGGGTAAAGTTGAAGGGAATTGCAGAGTTGGGTGAGCATCACTACAAGCAAATGCTTTCACAATACACAGTCATTATATCAACTGTTAACACAAAATAATGACAATACCAAACAGATATTGCAACACTTGTTTCTAGAACAGTGAAACTGTATAGATTAAAAGTCACAACTCTTAAGAAAGCAGCGGTGCATATTTTGGACATTCTATGGGATGATGTAGTAAAGGTCTTACTGCTACTTTTAATGTGTTATAAATAAATGATGATAAAAAAATCATTTTTAAGTTTGCACACAGACACTCCCTTCTTAGATAATACCAGTGTTGAGCAGCACCCGTTTGTGAATTGACCTTTTGGGTGGTGTCACTTATGAGTCGCTGGTGTCCCAGGGTGGTGCTGTTGAGCTTCTCGATGAGCTGCATGATATCCCTCATTTCATTCTCTATCACCTGCAGGCTGAGAGCTCCATAAAGTTCTCCATCATTCTCCCTCTCGAGTATTGCCACATCTTCCTGCAGCTGGGGCAGGCGTCGCTCCAAACCCAGCAGCAGACTCTCCAGCTCCATGGTCTGTGGGGAGACTCATGGATTATACACAGATCAGCCATAACATTATGACCACCTGCTTAATACTGTTTACATAAGAGTCAACATGGCAGTTGGTTGGCACTCGTGTCACTCTGCAGCTCACTGTGCATCTTCTGTGAATCCATTTGCTTCCACAGTTCTACTGTCAGGAAGAGCACAGATGTGTCTACCATTCAGTGAAAAAACTTATGTAAAAGGAGAGAAAACTGTGGTCATTAGGATGAGTTAGAGAGAATCTTTTAGACAAATTCAACAGCCTCACCACTCTAGGTGTGATATCACCACTACAGCCCCTGCTCACCTGCTGCCTAATATACCCCACACAATGACAGGTACCACTGTAAAAGGTAGTCAGTCTTATTCACTTCACCAGCCAGTGTTCATAATGTTATTTCTGATCAGTGTACATCACTCAGGACTCCTTTGCCAAGAATGCATACATTCAAGTGTTTATTTACAATGTATATTTATTTGGAGTAGGCTGAGTAGGCAGATTTGGTTTAGAAATGACCATCATTAGTTACCTTCTGTGAGGTGATGTTGCTATTGCATTCTGATGCATTGTCTTCCACTGTGCTGAGTTTGTCATGAGGGAATCTCTGCTCTGAATTTGTCAACTCACACACACAGCTATCATGCCGAGTTGCCTGAAATCATAAATTAGATATGGCAGGTAAAACATAAATTCTAATTACCGCGTGTAAATATATCTACATTTGACCTGGTCAGACACTTTACAGTAACATTTAGAAGATAAAAGTAGATTTTTAAAACAATCACAGTATTGCCTACCTGTTCAACCAGTGTGAACAGAGCACACTGGAAGGCGATCGCATACAGCTTCATGGTGGATCTGAGAGCAGAGCTGCAGGAAACTGTCCCTGAACCCAGTTTGAATATGACTGTCTCTCTGCACTGGCATCTAGACTTGTGAGCACTCCCACTAACCTCTGCATGTGAGGGAGTGAATATGTGTATGCGTGCACTCTGGGTGTCACACTTCCTCTTTATAGGATCACTTCCTCTTTGTGGTTGGGATTGCAGCAACAAGATATGAAATTTGGTGAGCATACAATTCAATTTTATTCTGTTTGTATTGTGCCAGTTCACAACAAAAATCATCTCAAGGCACTTTACATAGTAAGATCTAGATCTTACATTATTATAGGAGAGAAACAAAACACTTGGTGAGACTGGAGAGAAAAGGCTTGGTAATGTAAGAAACCTGCAACAGACCTGGGTTCTCAGTGGGCAGCCTTCTGTGTCGACTGGATGGGGTGAGTGGAAAGAGGAGAGAGAAAAGAAAAGCATCAGGACAGAACAAACAATTGAACAATGGGCAGGTTGATGTGCCCGGTGACTGCTCATCAGAAACATACAGAGCCAGAGCTACCTGAGGAAATGTGCAGGGAGAGAGAGGACACACTATGGTGGCATATAAATGCATTGTGAGTGAGAAGAGGAGAAGAGCTCAGAGCATCATGTTTGGGTGGCAGTCTAGGCCTAGAGCAGCAAAACTAAAGGAAAGCTCAGGGTCACCTGAGCCAGCCTAACAGCTTTATCAAAAAGGAAAGTCTTAAGTTTAATCATAAAGGTAGAGAGGATGTCTGCCTCCTGAACTGAGACTGGCTGGCTGAAAAAAATATAAGGTTTAAAAGATTTTTTAATGCAAAAATTGTGATGATTACTATCACTCTTAAATCACTGGGGTAAATATGAAGTGAATTTCAACAAAATATGAGGGTTAAGCACATTGTATTTAAGCACACCTGTGACATTGATGAAGATTTGGTCACATTTTATGAGCAGTAAATGCAGAAAACCATCTACTTTCAATGCGATCATTGGACAAACTTTCCCCACATGGACAGAAACATGACTACAAATAATTTGTAATGGCTCCATGTCCACTGAAGATTTTGCTATCATGATTGCAATTGTTTGCAGCAAGTGTGGCTAGAAACACTATTGCTACTGAAACATGATAAATAATCTAGCAGAGGACTGGAGGAATCAAGCCGGTATCAGTACCCTGAGGCTGATAGGAAACAGATATGCAGGTGAGAGGAACAGAGTCAGGGGACAGTGGAAAAGTCCAGGGACATCTGGAGGCTGAATGGGGAAAGAAATTTATAGAGATGCCAGAAAATGTGTCTGCGGTTTGTGGGTTTACAGACATGCAGAGACAGTGTCTTGTGTTGAAATAATAATAACAGGATTCAGGAACACAAAGTGGAAAAAGCACAAAAATATCATCTAAAGAAACTTTAGTCATAATGCAAATGTAATATTTGAATCTGTGGTTTGTGCTCCACATGCAATGTGCTATTTAAAAAGTAAAAAGGTTTTCTGCAGTCGCAAGCTAAATTCTTGTGGTGGTACCAAAAGTATGAACTTACTGGAAATGTTAAGTAATTAGCTCCTTGCATATTTTATAATTATTCCCCATCACAGCAGACAGAGGGTTAAAAATTAACATAAGTAGTTGGAAGTACTCAAATAATCTTTCTGGTAATCATGTCTTTCAAAAAACTGTACTAGGGTTACCAAGAAACAAAGAAAAACAGCAACTGACCATGGGGACAGCCAACTGTTAAAGATGTTTTAATAAGAAACTATTTGCAGCAGTAAATAAATATTTGAATAAGACATCAACCATGAACTCAACTACATGCACTGTCAGACATGACAGTGAAATCTTGTTCAGTTACAGTAATCCTTTCTTATTGTACAGCCTATAAAATATATACCTTAAAATGATAACCATGACCCCATCTCCCTCTCCTTGTTTCTAGTTATGTCTCTCTGTTAGAGTGAAGTTGTATATCATCTAAACAATGTATGAAAAGGGGAAGGGGACCACTGAGGCTGAATACGCACAGGGCCCAGATATTTGTGCTTTGCTCTTGTGGGATGTATGGAAAATAAATAATGTGCACTTTAATGTGCGGAGGAGTGTTTGAGCATCTTCGTTTTAAGGAAAAGACACTGAGTCACTTTACAGTAAGTTTGCCAAGGACAAAAGTGAGATCAACTTAGAAAATATTATGTCCAGTAAACATCACCACAGCACAAAAGGCATGAATTCAATTTTATTTTATATATATCACATCATGTCACAACAAAAGTTGACTCAAGACACTTTACAAAGTAAGGTCTAGACCTTACTACAAATATTATTATAAAAGAAAAAACCCAGCAAATCCCCCACGAGCAGCACTTGGCAACAGCTGGGAGGAAAAACTCCCTTTAATGGAAGAAACCTCTAACAGACCCCGGCTCTTGGTGCACGGCCTTCTGCCTCGACCTGTTGGGGTGAGTGGATAGAGGAGAGAGATAGGAAAAGAAAAGCAACAAGACACAACAAACAATCAAACGCTGGGCAAGCTGATGTGATCATCAAAAACGTAGAGCTCCAGAGGCAGGGCTACCTGCAGAAAGGTACAGGGAGAGACAGAGGAAACACACAGTTAGTGATGCATAATGGTGGCATATAAATGCATGGAGAGGGAGGAGAGGAGCTCAGAGCATCATGGGGGGCCTCCAGCAGCCGAGGCCTATAGCAGGATAACTAAGGGGTCACCTGAGCTAGCCTTAACTCTAAGCTTTATCAAAAAAGAAAATCTTAAATCTAATCTCAAATGCAGAGAGGGTGTCTGCCTCCCAAACTGAGACTGGGAGTTGGTTCCATAGCTTGATAGCTAAAAGTTCTGCCTCCCATTCTGCTTCTGTGTACTCTAGGAACCACAAGTAAACCTGCACTCTGAGAGCGAAGTGTTCTGTTAGGATGATAAGGCACTATGAGGTCTTTAAGATACGATGGAGTCTTGTCATTAAGGGCTTTGTATGTTAGGAGAAGGATTTTAAACTCTATTCCAGATTTTACAGGGAGCCAGTGGAGAGAAGCTAATATGGGAGAGATATGATCTCTCTTGCTAGTTCCTATCAGTACTCTGGCTGCAGCATTTTGGATTAACTGGAGGCTTTTTAGGGAATTATTGGTGCATCCTAATAGTACAGAGTTACAGTAGTCCAGCCTGGAAGTAACAAATGCATGGACCAGTTTTTCAGCATCACTGTGAGACAGGATGCTCCTGAGTTTTATGATATTGCGCAGGTGAAAGAAGGCAGTTCTAGAGACTTGGTTTATGTGTGATTTAAAGGACATATATTGGTCAAAATGACTCCAAGGTTCCTCACAGTAGTACTGGAGACTAGGGCTATATCATCTAGACTAACTATATGGTTAGACAGCAGATTTCTAAGGTTTTCAGGCCCAAGTACAATGACTTCAGTTTTTTCAGAATTTACAAGTAAGAAATTACAAGTCATCCAGGCCTTTATGTCTTTAAGACATGCTTGAAGTTTGACCAATTGATCTGATTTATCTGCATAGCAATGGAAATTTATGCCATTTTTGAATAATATTGCCACAGGGGAGCATGTATAAAGTGAAGAGAACTGGATCTAACACAAAGCCCTGTGGAACACCGTGACTAACTTCAGTCTGTGTGGAAGATTCATCATTAGGTCAAAGGTCAAAGTGTTTATTTGTCATATGCACAGTTAGGAAACGTGTTTCCCTGTACAATGAAATTCTTACTTTGCCATCCACATGAATGCCACAAAATACAAATTAAATATAAAGTAGATAAATAAGTAACACAAAATCTAAGGCACTTTAAGCAGCAAACCAACTTAGTGCAGATCCTTTAATCCCAATAACATGTTCAAATCTCTGTAATAAGATGCTGTGATCAGTGGTGTCAAAAGCAGCACTGTGATCTAGGAAGACAAGTATGGAGACAAGTCCTTTGTCTGAGGCTAGGAGGAGATCATTGGTGAGTTTCACCAATGCAGTTTCTGTACTATGGATTCTAAATCCTGACTGAAAATCCTCAAACAAATCATTCTTGTGCAAGTGGTCATGTAACTGCTTTGCAACAGCTTTGTCAAGGATTTTTAGAAATAATAATAATAAAACTTTATTTATATAGTGCTCTCCAACTCACAGGAGCACCAGAGTGCTGTACCATAAAAACATACAAAACAAAGACTATAAAACAGATAAGGAAATACTAGGGTGCTAGACCAGAGCTAAAACACAACAATAAAACAAGTTAGGCCTCAAAAGCCTGCTTAAAGAAGTGGGTCGTTAAGGCCGAAATAAAGGGGAGATTGGATATTGGTCTATAATTAGCTAGAACATCTGGGTCAAGAGTAGGTTTTTTGAGTAGGGATTTAATTACAGCAACCTTAAAAGCTTGTGGAACATAGTCTGTTAATAGAGAGAGGTTAATCATATCTAATATGGATGTGATGATTAGTGGTAAACCATCTTTGAGCAGCCTGGTTGGGATGGGGTCTAAGAGAAATTTTGATGATTTAGATGAAGCAATTATTGAGGTCAACTAGGAGAGATCAATGGGAGAGAAGCAGTCCAAGTATAAATGAGGTCTTACAGATGTTTCTAAAGCCATTATACTTCATGATACAGTACCTCTTTGAGAGGGAATTATTTGATTAATTTCCTTTTGTCTAATTGTTGTGATTTTATTTCTAAAGAAGCTCATGAAGCCATTACTGCTGAAATCTAAGGGAATATTAAACTCAGTAGCACTGTGGCTCTTTGTCAGCCTGACTACAGTGCTGAAAATAAACCTGGGGTTGTTCTTATTTTCCTTTATCAGTAATAAATAATATGCAGTTCTGCTACTATGAAGGGCTTTTTTAATACATTATGAAATTATCTTTCCAGGTTAAGAAAAACTCTTCTGACTTAGTGGAGTTCCACCTCCTTTCCAGTTTTCGTGATGCTTGCTTTTGGGAGCTCAGCTGCGAGCTGTATCATGGGGCTAGCCTCCTCCGTTGCTTTCTTTTTCAGAGGGGCAACAGTACGCAGGGAGGCTGCAGTACTATCAACAAGATTATCGATGTGTGGTAGTAAAATTAAGGTGGCTGCCCTCCACTGTGTTGGCACATGGCACTGAAGTAAATAATGATGCAATTATTTCCTTAAATTTTGTAACAGCATTGTCAGATATACATCTACTGTAGCGGAATTTTTTCCCACATAGTGCTCTCATGTCACCTTCCAGCTGTCCGCAGAGAGAAGTAACCACATCAGCTTTCAATAAGCCACAAATCTGAGTAGATCAGTGAGCAATTTAGCCATACAGTATCATTTTAGAGAATAAATATATTGCTCACCTGACTCTATTAATGAAATACAAAAATTACTTTGCAGAGGCTCTTCTTATCACTACCAACCCTTAGGATTATCTCCTGATTAGTCAGGGTGAAATCACTGTCAAAAGTACCAGTGACATTGAAGACAGTTTGGGTGTGAGAGACTCAGAGTGAGACTTTCAAAATGAGTTATAACTATGTTTAGGTCTAGGGTTGATTAATAGGCTTGAGACAAAGATCGCTGCCACACCTCCACCTTGGCCTGTGCTTCAAGAGATGTGACTGGTAGAAGACCCCAGGGCAGACCCAGAACCCAGTCTGGGAGTCCTGCCAGAGGAGCTGTAACACATCGCTAGGGAGAGGGACGTCTGGACTACCGTACTGAACCTGCTGCCACCATGACCTGACCCCAGATACGTGGATGATAATGGATGGATCAGTTGATGTGTTGTGGGATCTGAAGCCAATCCAAGGTGACATTCGGAAAGAGGAGGGGGATACCTTGGACAGATTGCCAGTCTACCACACCGCTGACACATAGAGGCAGGCAGACATGTCCACTCACATTCACACCTACAAACAAGATTTTATTCATCTCTATGTATTAATACATCATTAGAAGCAAATGTTGCCTTCAGATTACAGTCTCAGGCTGTATTAAGCCATGACCGCTGTTAGAAGCAAGGAACTCCAGATCAGGAAGGAAAGCTGTGATTATGACTGTATGTGCCTGCGGTTTGTGGGTATAAAGAGATGCAGAGACAGTGTCTGTGTTTGAAGACGTACATTACTAATAGGATTCAGGAACAGAAAGTAGGCAGTCAGCACTGAGCACGAAAATATCCGCTGAAGAAATTCCACAATTAGTCAGAATTGTAATGTTTAATTCTGTGGTTTGTATTACACATGCAACATGCTATTTAATAACTATAGAGTTCACCTGTAGTCACAAGCCAAGTTCTTACAAGTACACACTTACTGTAAATTTTCAGTGATTAGCGCCTTGCATATTTAATAATTAATTCTCCATTACAGCAGACAGAGGGCTAAAAATTCTCACATTGGGAGAATTCAAATAATCTTTCTGGTAATCATGTCTTTCAAAAAACTTAGTTTTCCAAGAAATGAAGAAAGACAGGAGAAAACAGACACATTTGTGATCTGTGATCATCATCTAAATGCAGCTTGCTCTTAGCTCATTCAGTTGTCCCGAGACCATATTCTAAACAGCATAACTCCCTATTCACTTAATGGATTGCTTGAAACACCTTTCATTCCTACTACTGAAGACATGACACAAACTTCACCTCCTTGGATATTGCCACCATCTCTAGCTTCCTATCCTACTCATTCCATCTTCTCTCTTGTAAAGCCTCCACCCTCAAAGGATACCTCAACGGCATCAGTTCTTTCTCTAAACTCAATATCATCCCTTCGTCTCAAGTTCAATCATCTGTTCTCTTTAAAAGTCTTCAACATCTCAGTCCAGCCCAAATTCTTAAATGTCTTCCACTTATATCCGACCTGCTCTGACTACACATCAGCACCATCGGCACCAAGTATTTACCTGACTTCTTGTCTCTCACACATTCCTCCTTGCTTTCTTTGCAGTATACAAGTTGTCACAGACAGCCATTGCATTACCTGATTTGTGTGTATATGCATGTATTTATCTATGTACATATGTATTTAATCAATGGTGGAAGAAGTATTCAGATTCTTTACTTAAAAATCAGCTCCACTCAGTTACTCTTGAAGGTTGCAGGGGTCTGGAGCCAGTCCAAGCTGGCATTAGCAAAGAGGATGGGGCACCCCTCGCAGTCAGCTGAGCAAGCGGGAGAACAAAAAAAGTAAATGATCACTCCATAGTGCAACCATCATTTAGTAAGGAAGACTGCTTATCAACAAGCAGAACGCAAACTTGCAGAAATGTGATGCCTTCACCACTTTGCCCACAGTCCACTCACTGAAGTCCTCGTTTTACCTCTAAACCTTTATAAGTGCCTCTTTACACATTGTACTTGTAATGTGACTGAGGTATGAAAAGTAGAAATTTAACCAATCAAGGGCAACTGCTCTGCACATGCACCCTCTCCACCCTTGCGTTCCTGGAACTTGATTTTAGTCCTGCTTCCTTAGTTTAAAATTCCTGCACATCTGTTTAAAAAAAACTGATTGTTTAAAACAAACAAGCAAAAAAACAGTGGTGATGCCATCCGACTCACATGTTCAGGAGATTTTCATTGTTTTCAGTGTTTTGCTGAAAAATAAAATAAATACTACTGTTTTATATTTTTCACACCTACTTGAAAATGCTGTAGCTCGCAAAGCACTATTAAACAGGAATATTACAAAGTGGAAATAACCATTGCATAAAGCAGTGGTTCCCAAACTCAGGTAGATAAGTCCGGTTTGGGGCTAGGGGGTCAAAAAAATATATTTTCATTCACAAAAGAGGGTGGGGGAGTGGAGAAAGCAGGAAAGGCCTGGGAACCAATTGCATAAAAGAAGGGGGTAACTGGAAACTCCTGGTTCACCACAGTTTGTGAAACTCCAGTTTCAGAATTTCATGTGGTTTTAAGGCTCTGTCAGGAAAGGGTGTGTTTGTTGTGACTGTGTTTTAAAGAAAAGAGAAGAGAAGTGATTCCAACAGCTTCAGTACCTGACAGTCTACTACTTTCTCCAGCTTTAAACATGCTGCTGCTGTTCCTACTGCTGCTGTCATTTGGGGTGAGTTACACTTCATGACATTTTATGTGTTCAAGAGAGTTTTTATTTTTCAAGCAGGATCTGGAGATGCTGATCTCTCTTAACCCTAATTTCTACGGGGCTGGAGAGTCCACAGTGGACTTTAGTGACAACATAATGAGGAGTAGAATCTCTAGTGCTGTGGCCATTATGAGGCATAGAAAATTGAGCTTGGTCTTAAATGTTGTATGGACTGAAGTTGGCTGGTGTGTAGCTGTTTGACTTCAGATTGAGAAGATTTTATTATTTTAAATGTTTCTGTCTAGAATGAAGATCTATATATGGATAGATTGGCCTTTATAAATTATTTTATTTTGGCCAATAATAGTACAAATGCTTTTGTGATTGGTGACTTGAATGGTGATATATCAGGATATATATATAACTATATACTCCTGAGTCAACAGCTACTTCCTGCATATAGTTATTCTTAAAAAGTGATGTGTGACATTCTACATCGTGGCTTGGTTACTGTTTTAGCACTGCTGATGCCCAATGCTAGTATGCAATTTATGGAAATTTTATATGTGGCATCTGTTATACCCCAGTTCTTTTATTGGACAGATCTGAATAACAAAGGAGTCCGTCTTTCTTCATTTTAGTTCTGATTTATTTTAAACCACAAGCAAAATTACAAAACACAACCCGGGTGGCTCCTTCCTCTAGACATCCACAGGCAGGCTGCTGGAAAAAAAGAGCCCCGGAAACACAGAGCCTAATACATTTATGGAGTCAGTCCGCAGACTCCATCTCTTATATAGAGCTCCAGCTGCATGGAGCCGCTGGCCATAACAAAATAAAGAATTTCAATGTGTGTGTGTTGTCATGTGGTGCATAACTAAAACATTCATTCAGACATAATATTCTAACACAAGATTTAATACAAGATGGTGTCATGGTAACAACAATTGGTGTCATGGTAACTGTAGCTCACATTTCAGAATCAACACTGTCTTCTAACCTTGAAGCAAAACAGAGTAGAGCAAACTTTGACTCTTACTAAACTTCATTACTAACACATTAAAGTCTAATTTACTAATATCTAACACATCTAGGTTTGATCATGTTCCTTTTGTGTGTAATGTTAGTAATAAAACCAAAGTGGACTGCGCTAATCTCTCAAGTGGAAGTGTACTATGCTTCACCAAATAGATTACCTTTACCTATGAATGCCATTTTATGTCCTGATGTATAGTGTAATGATAACATCACAGGGAAGCTCTCTGTACTATGTACTGTTATTTTGTAGCAAACTATCTGCAAACACTCTGGTAGGTCTCATAACATCAAGCCAGGTTGGAAAAAACATGTCATGCAGAGGCTATGCTGGCATACAAGGCATGGATTAGGGCTGGTAAGACTAGACATGATCCTGTGTTGGACTATAAAAAACATACCAATGCAGAATATTATCTCCATTGCTCTTTAAACTTTATATACTGTAGATGATCTGTCATTGGAGTTGAGTGGATGTCATATGGGATGTATGGTGGGTAGTAAATTTATTAATAATTTAATTCATGCTGATGATCTGGTAATCTTTTCATCTAGCAGTGCTGGGCTTCGAGAATTGTTAAATGTACATTTTATGGAGTCTTGCATGAGGTAATGTATAATGCTAAGAAGAGTGTTATTTTTATTTGTAGAATGAGAGATGATATGGATCTCCAGTTTCCAGGTTTGTATTTATCTGGACAAGTTTTAAGTGTCTGTGCCAGGACTAAATCAGTTAAATGATGATGATGACATGATCAGATGATGCTGTATTTTGTATTCACATGGGAATAATTTGACAAGAAAGTTTCACAAGTGTTCTGATGTAGACAAAGTAAGACTCTTTAAAGCTTATTCCTTACAGTATCTCTGTACACTGTGCCCTTGTGGACTAATTTCAAAAAGGGTATTAAACAGAAGATTTAGACTGCATATAATGGTTGCCTATGGCTCTTGCTGAGACAGCCAAGATTTTGTAGTGCCAGTGGGTTGTTCTGCAGGATGGGAAATTGTACCTTTGATACTACAGTTAGAAATTTGAGCTATAGTTTCATTTTCTGGTTAAATGGCTTGGAAAATGATATTAATAAGATGATTGTTAATTGGGCCTGGAAAGATATCAGGTACCAGTCCACTTTTTGGGAGTTCCCATGCTGCTGTTTATTGGTGCTATAAAGTGAGTATTCATGTTCTTTTCTTTTTCTTTTTTAAATTTTTTCTTCTCCTTGTTTTATTGTTTTCTTTTTATGGACCTTGAGTCTTTTAATAAAGGTTTCACTGATTGATTTACATTTATTTTGAAAGCATAACACCATCAGTAGTGAGTTTTGACAGCAATCCAGACAATCTTCCAATTTCATGCTGTATATATTCTCCAATCACCAGATTCACTGGCTTCACAGATGGTGCAACCCATAAATATGACTATATACATGAACGTATATATATATATGGTCAGACATTAGACCAATGGGTTGCACCATCTGCTTTGCAAATTTGAAAAAGCAAAATTATCACCTTTAGAGTTAAATGTCTGTGCAAATTCTCAGTCATCCAGGTCATAGTAAACTGAAAAAATCATCAAAAAATCATCTAAGTTTTTTCACTTTAGAGTTAAAGTTAACACTTTCCTAGTGTTTTATGGGAACCACTAAAAAGTGTTAAATTAACAAAATTGAAAGTTCACATTGTTATAATGTTAGATAAAAACTCACAGATAACAAAAACAGTAAGTCAGTGTTCAAAGTTCAATCAGAGACACTTGTGGAACAAATGGTCAATATTGCACTGGTTATCAAGTAACACTTGGTGGTGACAGTTTACTCTATGTTGAGCATACTGTTGAGCATGCTACTGATATAAGCAAAATGGTCCACTGGGATTGACATTATTACAGTATATTCTCTTTATAATACTGACATGATCATCTCTCTCAAATAACTCCAACACTGAACAATATTTTACACTGACTGCATCAAAAATACTCTTTCAGCATTCAAATCAACTCTGAAATTTCAAGACTTCAATTTTTGCTGTATAGTAGAGTGAAGTCCACCACTTTACATAAGGAAACTTTGTCTCTCAGTCATGCAGGTGAAAATAGCAAATTATAAAATCAATCAATGAATACAATTAAATCAACAAATTAATTTTGAATGGCTTGTTTGTTCATCTGCGACTAGCTGAGATTTACAAATCCTAGTATACTAGTACACAAATATAGTAGCTATCTAAACTAATGTTAGTAACGCTGCCCTAGCATTAACCTCTGGCCAAGCTGACAATGAAAGCAGAACAAATAGAAACAATAGTTCATTATTATTAACAATAGTTCATTATGAAGACACTTTTTTATGTTAAGATACTAGGAAGGTTTGGGTTAGCTAGCATGAACTATGCTCAAGTTGTCAAAAAACACTCTGATATCATCAAGTAATATTAAGCCGTCCCTGGTAGTGGTTAGTGGTTAAGTGTAAGTCATCAGTGTGACGATTCACTGTGGCGACCCCTAAACGGGAAAAGCCAAAAGTGACTTTCTATGGTCAGGTAATATTTACTTAGTCTCTGTCTATGGATTAATGTGTGAAGTGTTTGCCTTTTATGCAGCATTTTGCATATATGGAAGTACTCAAATTTAACATAAATGATTGCCTACCAAGCCCAGTATTACTTTTTTAAATATCATATTTATATATATTTTATCAGGAGATCCCTGGTGCAACAATTAAAGAAACAGTAGGAGAGGCGAGTGGAGATGGACAGTATGAGGTGAGGTTTTAAAATTGATTCATGACTGCAATAGATTAAACCCTGAATGGAGAACTGGCAGTGATGGAGGCTGAGTTGGTTCCAGTTCAATGCCAGTTTCTCAGATCAATAAGCAGCAATGTTATATTATGTTTTGTTTGTCATAAGCCTCTTGGGTCCCTGGTCATTTCTCCGGGAAATTGTTTCAGTCACAAATTATTTGGTATTCGCATGTTTATTTCTTTTATTTATTTGATTTTTTAAAATTTCTTTGTTTCATAAGAATACCAAAGAATTTGTAATTGTTGAATTCAGTTTTCTGGCAGAAGTGGTGGCAGTATTTTTTGCCATGACTAAGTGGCAGGGACCATTTATTGCTGATGGACTCATTGATGCCTGCTACATTTATTGTATGAACTACACCAGGGCACCCCATTATCATCCTGCACATCACCTGTACATGCTAGCCTTGATGTTCAGGAGCATTGTCTTCAATGTGTATCACTGCAACCATATTATATTTTTATATTATATAATAGGACCAAGAAGAAAGCAGTATGGAGACAAGAGCAGAGGAAGATACAGGGCCAAAGATGAGGTTAAATCCAGGGGTACGTCCCATGTCTCTTATAAAATTGTTCCTACGTCCTCGGTTCTTGGTCAGCCCAGAAGTCGTTCCTGTTGACCAAGGAGATAGGACGTTCCAAGTTTTTTATACAGGCTCTGATTACCTAGGAGCAAGGACCAAAAAACGTGCTGAAGGAGCCATGACAGAGATTACACGAGACCATCCTTTGTGGAAGTTTGGTGTGAACTGCGCTCCTTTATCAGAAATCAGAAAGGGATCTTAATTATTAGACATACCCTTAGGCTACGTTCACACTGCAGGTCTTAATGCTCAGATCGAATTTTTTGACGAAATCCAATTTTTTTGTGCTGTTGTTCACACTGTCATTTAAATGTGACTGTCATCTGTCTCATGTGTGAACGGTATATGGCCCTGAGGTGACCCACATGCGCGGAAGAGGACGTGATGTCAGACGCAGCGTACTGTGTTTGCGAAAATAAAAATGGATGCGTCTTGTGATAGCATGTGCATAGCGATGTACCAGTTAATGTGCAATCAAAATAAATAATAAGAAGAAGAATAGAAGAAGGAGAGCACAAATATTGCTTATGGCGTCGCCTCCTCCAGCGCAGAATTGTGGTGTCTGTTGCATTTCAATGACATAAAAATCGCATGAAATGCGACATGGCTGTTCAGACTGAAGTCGCATTGCAAAACATCGGATATGTATCCGATTTAGGACCACATATGAAAGTGACCTGGGCCAGATTTGATCAAATCGGATTTGTGCTGTTCACACTGTCATAAGGAAATCGGATATGGGTCACATTTGGGCAAAAAAAATCGGATTTGAGCCACTTCAGCCTGCAGTGTGAACGTGGCCATAGAGAGCTGAAGTGAATCTGGAACTTCCATGTTGTGTTCTAGAGGAAAGGAAATCCCATTCAAAATGCAACTGAGATTTCTAATTCTGATAATTCAGCCTTGAAACACAGCTGTTTTCAAAAGTATGTTGTGAGTTTCATTACATTTGCTTACACTAATGATAAATTTCTTTAAAATGACATAATTTTGACATTAATATTTCAGTTTTTATCGGACTTTAATGAATACCATTTCCCAGAACCCTGAGCCCATTACACCTGAAAATTTACCAGCTCATGCTGGTCGACTGGTTGGAGAATTGAACTGAGGCTCGCGTCAAGAGATGGCTCTATTACACATGTTCATATGCTTTTTACAACCTAAAAAGTTGAGAGAGGTGAGACTAATATTAGAAACATATAGTTAATATTGTACTACTTGGACTGCGAAAGTCCAAAAAGTGTCTAGTAATTAACACTGATGTATAATATGTGCTGCAAAGCATTCACAGGAACTGTAGTTTTTTCAGTGTTAAAATCATTTATTAATTTTGTTAAAACCACAAAGCAGTCAACTTTCTGTAGTAAGTGTTATTTTGATTGGTGGCTTGTTTTAGAATATGAAAAAAAAATCCAGAGGAATGCGCTTAGTTTCACAATGACCGATGAAAAAGCGTTTAATGAAACATTCCATAGAGTCACTGAAGTCAAAGAAGCAGAGGCTAACCCAAGCGGCAACCTTTGAGGCTGAGAAATGAAGGCACTGCTGAAGTGCCAAAACCTGTAGTTCCTTGAATGGCCTTTTGAAACTGGCTCCAAAGGGACTCAATCCCTCTAGACCCATGTTAAAATGCCCAACTTTATAGCAGAAATAAACATGTTTACAGCCTGGTACAAAAAAACAGTTTTGGTCTCTATAACTAATTTCCCCTTCCATGATAACTGTATGAACTTGCCCTTTTAAATTATACTGAGACTAAAAGTTATGCATAATTAAGGGTGTGGACTCATTGAGTTACAGGCAGGAGGGTGGCTAACCACTAGCTGTCTAGAGACCTCCACTCACTCTTCACCTCTTTGCCCATATTTTGATTAGACCGAGCAGGCAGAGTGAATCACTACCAATATGGCGACAGCCAGACTAGAGCTTAAAAAACACTCTTCACAAAACCAGTGGGTGACGCCACGTTGAGTTCGTCTAGTTTGGGCTAACTGGATGTGACGACATGAATTTGGCTCTTTATAAAGCCAATAAAGCCCTTTGGAACTGAATAGTACCCCACTCCTCTCTGATTTAGTCAAGTTAAAAACTGTAGCCATTTTCTTCAAAGTTTTCTGGCAACAGACATCTGTACCATGTAGTTACCTTTTAATGGACTTATCTAATAATACACAGATGTTGTATTATAAAGCACAGATATTGATTGGGGCTGGGTGATTAATCAGATTTTATTTTAAATTCTGATTTTGGCTTCCAATGGTCATGAAAACAAAATAATCAAATTATTGTGACACGTTGCACTGATGCTCTCATTTTGTCTTGTGTTAAAATCCAGCACACCCCTTCAAGTTTTTGTGCTTGCATCAGGTGAGAAGAATAGGCTCATTCAACTGCGTGCCGCCTGGTAAGCAGATCAGAGCAAGGGGTGGTGGCAAAGATCCGCAATCAAGATGGACAGTTTAGGAGCTTTCCACCACTCACATCCTGTTAGATCTGATCCTCATTAAATAAAATGTCATCAAATCAAACTTTTCAGCTTCTACTCAGGGTCTAAACAGCTTATACTATTCTATATGTCATGTATGTGGGCTATATTTCTCCTATAAAGCAGTCATCATATGAGTTTTCTGCTGTATTTGAGCTGACCAGGCTTGATTTGCTATCTAATATTTTAGGGGATAGGGTGGGGTTTGGTTAATAGTTTTGTTTTTTAATTCTTTTTCTAAGTGCAGTCTCTTTATTATCCTTTACCAGCTGTAAATATCTTGTATAAAGCATACAATAGTGTTGTTGGAAATTATTTTATGTATGTGTGACTGCAGGATGATGGCCATGCTCAGTATGTGCTGGGGCATTTTGGGGACAATGGCTCGTGTGTGTGCAAGGTAAACTCCAACATGTGGTCGTTCCCTGCTGTGAAGTACGAGGCTGTGATGCAGCAGATTCAGTCCTGTGAAGTATCTTTGAATAACCTTGACAAACAGGTAAGTAAGATTAATCATCATTTGACATTCCTGAGTGTAGTCTGTAATTCAGACTGGGTCTGGCCTAATCCAGTCTATAATTTTACCTCTGATTTGATGGATTAAATGTATAGGCTGGTGCTGAGCCATACTGCAGTGGTTAAAGGAATTAATTTTAACATGACATTTTGACTGGATTCAACATTCAACATGAATATTATGTATAGTTTCAGAATTTTGAAGTATTCAGATTATATGAACATGGAGTTTGTGTCTGTGTTTCATTGCAGGTGAAGTTGTCCAACCAGCGTCTCCCTCATATCCAGGCTGTGATTAAGAATGTGACGGCTCGGCTGGAGCCTTACCAGTATCTACATAACAAGGGCCTGTACACGCCCTTGTCTCTGCGCCTCCTAGGCCAGGAGCTCAGCCAGCTGGAAACAGACATTAGTACCATCCACAGCCAGTTAAACAATGCCCAAACACAGAAACTCTCCAAAGAGGTACAGCAAAAGCAGCAGATACTGTAGTAATTTATAACAGCAAAGAAAAACATAAATAACAATACTATATTATGTTAGGTCATAGTGTTATGTCATCAGCCTAAAACAGAAAAGTCATAAAGCCTAACTGAAATTTTGTAATGTCAGATATTTATTACAGAATAAATATGACAATATAAAGAAACATAATTATCTGTATAAAATGTTGTGTTTGTGTTAGGTGGGTAAATTGCGTAGAGATGTAGACAGGATGAAAACATCAGACACAATTAACATGAAGACTGTCAAAGAGAAACTACGCTACCTGAGGAACAGTGCTGAGTCATGCAAGTCAATTCCCAATGACTTCCAAGGTAAGTGTGTGTGTGTGTGTGTGTGTGTGTGTGTGTGTGTGTGTGTTGTTGTACCCGGTACTTTTTACCATACTGACTCTGAGAGATGAGGCAGTCCAAGTAACTACAAAACAGTGCTGGTTTATTCAAAGGATCACAGGTAAAATTAACATTACACGCTCAGGTATCTTGTGGCAACATGGTTTAGGGTTAGGATTGTAAGATGAAAGACCCTGAACCCACCAGGCCTATACATTATATCCCTTCGGTTGGGCTAGCCCCATACTATACAGAAACGTCAACCGAGATGTCTCTGTTGCCAGCTTTGCAGCTGGCCATAGCAGTAGTCAAAACATGAAGCAAATCAACGTGTGAATGTGTGTGTCTGTTGGTTAAGTGGTGTGTAGCTAAAAACATTCTCACGACCTCTAGTAACATGTCGTGGCTTAAACATAAGAACCTATTATGGCTAAGGCTACAGTTATACACGTCATAATAATAATATTAAACACCCTGTCTGCTGACAGTCATCAACTCTTCTCTCTAGTTATCCTTGACCAGATGTACCCTGTAGAAACTCATAAGCATGACTAAGCATTTAACAGTCTAACTAGACATCCTATCTCCACTAAACATTTCTAATACATAAAGTATCTATCCAATTTCTATCTAACTAAAAATACCTAACAAGATGAAGTTAAGTGTTAGGTATTAGGTTTAGGTGTTAGGCAAGTAGTGGTTATGGTTAAGGTTAGGATAAGTCTACAGGAAATTAATTTAAGCCAATGTAAAGTCCCCACAAGGAATGAAAACACAGCATGTGTGTGTGTGTGAGAGATAACATTTCACCATTGTGAGAAAACTTAGGTTTAGGTTATGGTAAGGGGATAGGTAATGCTTTATATTGAGTTTCCTCACACCTATAAACAGATAAAGCAGTGGTCCCTAAAACAGCTTATCTCTGCAAACCTTGCTGGTGTTCATGACTGTGGTGCATGAACTGCTTTTGTCACCTGTCACACCTAAGTTTTGATCCCATAGGTGAACAGGCAACCTTCAGGTTACAAGTACACTTTTCTATCCTTTAGGCTACCACTGTTCCATATTTCACGATTCAGTTTAGCAAGACTTATTCAATTAGCACAGCATGTGAAGTATAAGGTATACAGATCTTTGATAAAGAAGAAAATGAAAGTGTAATACCCCAGTTCTTTAATTGGACAGCTCTGAATAGCGAAGGAGACCGTCTTTCTTCATTTAGTGCTGATTTATTTTAAACCACAAGTACAAATTACAAACATGACCCGGGTTCATCCCCCTTCCAGAAACACATACACTGGCTGCTGGAAAAAGGAGTCCCTGGCCACATAGAGCCTAATACATTTATAAGTTTGGGGCTAACCCCTTACCCAGATGAAGTCAGTCCGCAGACTCCATCTCTTATCTAGTACCCCACATGCTTGGAGCAGCTGTGTTTCTACCTAGTCATAACAAAATGAAGAATCTCAATGTGTGTTTATGTTGTCACATGGTGTGTAGCTAAGGCATTCATTCATTTATTCAGACATAATATTCTAACAAGATTAATACAGGAAAACTATTGGTGTCATGGTTCACTTTTCAGAATCAACATTCTGTCTGCTAACCTTGAAACAAAACAGACTAGAGCAGACTTTGAATCTTACTAAATTGCATTACTAACACATTAAGGTCTAACAATTACTAATATCTAACAAAACAATGTGCTGCTCATCAAGAAAACATGCCAGTCAAAGGTTAAGTCAAGGAAACAGGAATCAAATCAGGATACACAGACAGTAAACACTTTCTACTGGAATCAGTGCAAATTACTCTTACCAGTGATCCACTTTATAACTATGCACAAGTTGGACACATGAGGAATTTGACTCTGGTACATGAGCTCTCATTGTGTATGTACATATCCCCATGCAAGGGGCAAGTAAACAGTAAACCAGCATGAGGCTGTGTAATATAACAAAATAAGCAGCATCATACAACGCAAAATAAGCAGTATAGCCAAACAATAAACAATGCAGACAACAAAGGAATTCTCATTGAAATGAGATAAATAGGAATAAAAACAGAGTACTTACAACTAGAGACCTGTGCGAATCTGTATAATATGTACAATGTATATATACAGGTATTGCACTGAAGATTATTGTCCAGTCATACTGTTGTTGGTTAAGTGTTCATCAGAGTGATAGCCTGGGGGAAGGAACTGTCCCTGTGCCTGGTTGTCTTGGTGCACAGTGACCTGTAACGCTGTCCAGAGGGGAGGAGTTCAGACAGATTGTGTCCAGGGTGTGAGGGGTCTGCAGTGATCCTCTCCACCCTCCTTTTGACCTGTGAGGTGTACAGGTCCTCCATGGAGGGCAGGCTTGCACCAATGATTCTTTCTGAAGTCTGTTCTTGTCCTGTTTGGTTGCTGAGCCAAACCAGACAGTGATGGAGGTGCAGAGAACAGACTCGATGATTCCTCTGTAGAACTGTATCAGCAGCTCCTGGGGCAAGTCGAACTTCCTGGGCTGGCACAGGAAGTACATCCTCTGCTGTGCCTTTTTGATGATGGTCCTGATTTTGGACATCCACTTCAGGTCCTGGGAGATGGTGGAGCCCAGGAACTTCTAGGACTTTCCACCTAGTCTGTTGTTTTATCATTAAGTATTGGCTAGATACATGATTTCTTAGGGTGGCACAGCAGGACACTGGTTAGCGCTGTCACCTTACAGCAAGGAGTTTCCGGGTTTGAACCCCAGCTGACCCAATGCCTTTCTGTGCAGAGTTTGCATGTTCTCCCTGTGTCTGCAGCTTCCTTCCATAGTCCAAAGACATGCAGCTTAGGTTGACTGGTGATTCTAAATTGCCCATAGGACTGAGTATGAGTGTGTCTGTGGTTGTTTAGCTACATGTCAGCCCTGTGATAGATTGGTGACCTGTGTGTAACCCCATGTCTTGCCCAATGCCAGCTAGGATTGGCTCCAGCCCCCTGCAACATTATTCAGGAATAAACGGTATAGATAATGGATGCATGGGTGGATGTTGCTTCTTATGATGTTTGTCTCTCTGTTTCCAGGCAAGGTGAGGTACTGCCTCAAGGGCCTGATCCGCAACATCAGTGACCCTATCGTGACTAAGGTCAGCCCCTATGGTAAGAGCTATATCTCTGGTTCATGGGGCAAACAGGCCCAGATGAACAGTGAGGGGCAGAAGTCCAGCTACTGGGTTCAAGGTCTGTTCAACAATCATGCCTGGGGGAACACTGTGCGTGTATACCAAACCTATGAAGACTTCATGGCCTCAGTCAACCACAAGGACTTTACCTTTGCTCCATCCTACACTGCTGCCAGTGCCATCGAGGGTCCCAGTGCTGTCCTCTATGGTGAAGCGCTCTACTATAACTGCTACCGCTCTCCAGATATCTGCCGATATGACCTCAACACCAACATCGTCAAACGGGTGACTCTTCCAGGCACTGAAGTCGGTTTCAACAACAAGTTCCAGTATTGTTATTATGACTGCCGTCCCTATAGTGATATCGACGTGGAGGCAGATGAAACAGGACTATGGGCCCTCTATACCACTGTTGGTAACCATGGTAATCTAGTGGTGAGTCGGCTAATTTGGGACAGTGAAGCTGAGATGCTCAATGTCTCTCAGACCTGGGAGACAAGGCTATTTAAGAAGGCAGTTAGCAATGCTTTTATGGTGTGTGAGGTGCTGTATGCTACTCGATATGTAGACGAATACCATGAGGAGGTGTTCTATGCCTTTAACACAGCAACAGGCAGAGAGGACAACTCACTAGAACTCCCACTGGAGAAGGTAGCCAGAGGAGTGGCTAGTCTGAGCTACAACCCCACCAACAAGCAGATCTATATGTTCAACGATGGGTATCTGCTGGCCTACCAGGCTCGCTTCTGATCTGTTGTAATAGGGTAGTAATTGTTATTTCCATATTAGCCATGCTCACATAGCACTTGTGAACAAGAAAAAAAGTAAAGTGGTGAGAGATTCACTTTTGAGACTATTCTAAGCAACAGCCTTGCAGGCTAGTGTTATCAACTGGCTAATGAATATGCTACAGTCATATATGCAACACAGGTCTTTTAATGTTGTAACACTGGAAAAGTTGAAAAATCAATAAAAAGCAATGATCTAATAAACTCTTAGCAATAATCAGTTCCACTTTCACTGCCTCTTCATCCTTGTCATACTGTATATCAAAGGTGTGTATGTGGGTTTGAGATAAATACACAGGAAATATCAAGCACACTGTATGTAACAATGACCAACATTCATACACACATACCATGGAAAGACCATGCACTAGTTCCTCAGTGATTATTATGAACCAAATTATACGGTGTCAGTTATCCATCATTACTACTACGCACATCTCAAAGTATGTGGTTTATAATGACTATTAGCCAGCCTGTATATTTCACAAGTTTAACTTCTCCAAGTGAGGAAACATGCATGCCAAGTGTTTAGCTAGTAACACCTGCACAGTAATACAGAGTCCTTGCCTCATCATTTAGTGACCATTCCAAGCGTTAACAAGTGTGGAGTCCATATTATCATGGGAATTTTCTATCTTTGAGCAGTATCCATAGCTCATTCAGTTCAGCAGTCTCTCTCTCATCAACACCCTCTCATATCAGTCCTTGAGAATAACATATGAATGGAGCTCATGAGCCATGTTAAATACCAAATATCCTGTCACAGGCATTATTGACAGCAAGTCAAGCCTGTTGTTCCTGTACATACTGACATGCTGCCATGAATCACAGATCACCCAGTGAATAGAACTTAAGTCCAAGCCATCCTCGCCAGACTACATGCCATCTGCCACAAGTAACCTAAAACTTGAGCAAAATGATAGAAATGTGGCCTGGTGTATACAAGATTGCACCTGCAGACAACACTTCACTGCAGCGCCAATTAATGAGATAAAAGGAATGGACAGAATTGGCAGCAGTGCTATCTATTCTTATTTACTGATTAGTAACAAAACTGTTTTTGAAATTAACAACACATAGCATGTTACTTTAAGCATAATAAGTCCAAAACCTTACACTCACATATGTAACAATATGTGAAGGTCTAACCTGTCAATTGATCAAAAGCAATGCGTGTTGTTTTGTTTGTGTCTGCAGTCTGGTCTTACACATGTTGGGGGAATGTAAATCTTATTACACAGTCACATGGTGGGGACTTCTAGCTAAGCAGCATATTACTGTGGCTGAAAGTACATTAACTAGCTACCTAATTAACTAAAGCAGGGGATAAGGTTTTCTGTCACGATGAATGATTTGGACTAATTAAAATAAACAGGTCTGTAACGTGAGGTTGTCAGCTAGGTTAAGGTGTAAATTAGTTAAATAACTGTCTGTGGCTACCAGGGAATATAGGGCCAGATTCTGCATGAATTTCTGAGAGATTAGAAACTAAATATATGTGTGAATTATTACCCTCAAGGCTAGATTTGTGCCAGATATTTAACTGACCACAAATTCTGACTTCAGGTATTTATGTTTTGGTAAATGGTCTTAAACTTGTATAGCGCTTTTCAGCACACTCAAAGCGCTTTTACACTACTTGGCCATTCACCCATTCGCACTCCCAAACACACACATTCAATTACCGGTGACCTCACCGGGAGCAACTGGGGGTTCAGTGTCTTGCTCAAGGACACAAGCCGGGAATTGAACCGCTAATCCTCCGGTTAGGAAACGACCCGCTCTACCTCCTGAGGCACAGCTCCCCCCTACTCTGGACATGAAACCAAAAGCCTGATTAAAGTCCTTTTAGTTTTCTCACTGTTTACTGAAAAGACCTGGTTGATTCTGCATGTCTCCCAGTTTAACATTATCATTTATTTCACTACATTGTCCAAAAAAAAAGCTGATTACAATATAGTTTATTTCGCGACTATATTGTATTGTGTTGGGTAAAATTATTAACAAAGTTATAGTCTAGGATTGGTTCTAACATTTGATTGAATTAAGTACTTATTTAGTAGAAGATTGACACCATGTTGTTTATTTAACCTGTGTGTTCACTTTGTTTGTGTATGACTATTCTAATATACTAGAAAAGGAACAGTTAAGATTATATTTCAGAATACATAAGTTCACATGCTTGCATGTCACAGATATGTTTATGTAGTTACTTTTCACCCAATTATATGTTCACTAAAATAATGAGAAAATAAGTAGTTGCCTGAGACACTGAAAACTTTGTGTGATATTGCAGGCCCTTTGTGATTAAAAGTCTGGCACACTGAGTAACTTTCCAAGGTCTGATCATCCCACAGGCTTTCATTAGATTTGTTGCCTTTTCTTAAAAGAGCTCATTATTCCCTCTGAGCTTTGAAGCCAGGGGAGTTAGGGTTTGATAAGATACTAAGATTTACACTAAGTGTTCTGCCCTTTGTGTCAAAAGACCTTGTTTGACTCGACAGACAGATAACGTCTCCCACAGACCACAGACAACCAATGGACTTGGACACTTTACTGCTGGCCGTGGAATGACGTAAAACTATAGAAACACAAATAACATAATAAATACACAGCATCTACTGGCACGTTTACATGCGCATACAACGGCTCTTAGCATGTACAAACAGCGTCTACAATAACGTATAACTGCTTAACAGTGTGTCTTAACTTCTCCCATTGATAATCCTAGAATGTAATGATAAATGAGTATGTTTTCAACTTAAACATTGCCTTTACTTAATTTAAACATTTGCAATAGCTTTTACATACCGAAGGTGCCTTCAAAACAACTTAAATCGAGGAGAAGCGATCATCCTGTCTAAATACAGATACGCTGTATACAGAATGTGGCTCACGTTAATGATGTCGTCACTAAGAGACACAGAAGCTGCAATTACAGTCTTAGGACAGAAGGTGTCAGAATTATCCTTCGGGTCAGCTACTGTTCGTAGAGAACAGCACACTAAGGTTATAGTCAGATTTTGGCCTAGAAGAAACAGGAGCCTGGTAAAATAGCTATGTTCATACACACACACAGGCAGTGTCAGGTCTTCCTCCCTCTCTACGTAACTGTCTTTATTCATTGGAGCAGAAGGGACCTTGGGAATGGATGGATGGACCAATGGAACAGCACGAGAGGCACCAGATCAACCTACTTTTGCACATTTCAAAAACTGTATAAAAGATTGGGTTCCAGGAAGAAAGGCGTTCCTCTGTCCTGAAGGCAGATTGAACGGTTTTGCTGTTTAGGGTCAGGGCTTCAGATAGAGACAGAACCCAGAGCTCTGTAAATTGCTTTATTCGATAGTCTATTCAATTGTGATAATAAATGATTAAAAGTGATACTTGACTCCGATTATTCTTCATAAAAGAACACGCTGCATATGTCACAACTATATTGTTCTTGCTGTGCACTCTCTTCCTTCTGTTGAGCTTCCCGAGCCTCTTGCTCCACCATAAGAGTCTGGAGAACTGCATGCAGGTCTGAGATTTTTGGTTCTCTACCTTCACCCTGTTAGGGATTTTAGTCAGATAGAAATTAGATAGATACTTTATGTATTAGAAATGTTTAGTGAAGATAGGATGTCTAGTTAGACTGTTAAATGCTTAGGCATGCTTATGAGTTTCTACAGGGTACATCTGGTCAAGGGTAACTAGAGAAAAAATTTGATGACTGTCAGCAGACAGGGTGTCTAATATTATCACACGTTGATTTGCTTCATGTTTTGACTACTGCTATGGCCAGCTGCAAAGCTGGCAACAGAGACGTCTCGGTTGACGTTTCTGTGTAGTATGGGGCTAGCCCAACCGAGGTGATATAATGTATAGGCCTGGTGAGTTCAGGGTCTTTCATCTTACATCTGCCTGCGTGCAGGTTTGAGGTGCAAGATGCCTGAGCGTGTAATGTTAATTTTTGCCTGTGTTCATGGAATAAATCAGCACTGTTTTGTAGTTACTTGGACTGCCTCGTCTCTCAGAGTCAGTATGGTAAAAAGTACCGGGTACAACAACCCTCAGTGCTCTCAACTCCTCCACAAGCTGCCTTATTCATCTCTTCCTCTAGAACAGTCTGCTGGGCGAGACCATCTCTTCTGCCCGTCCTCTTGCTCCTCCACGAGACATCACTCAGTCCAAAATTAGGAGAAAACATTCAAAGGGAGAGGGAAAAAAGTATGTGTCACCTACTGGATGATCCCACCAATTGTCAGGGGCTAAACAGTAAGGCAGAAGACACAGCTTTTAAAGTACTTATACAAAACAAAATTTACTGTACACAATGGATTGTACATATTAATGCATATATAAAATGTGTAGTTTCTGCATCTTCCATCTGTGTTTTCATGTCACTCAAGAGTGGGAATGAGAAGTGCTGGGATAAATGTAAACTACAGTAATGCTCATGTTTGGATAGCTATATATCAATTGTTTCATACAGTAAATTTGATATTAATAGCAATTAATTAATAGCAGTTAATCCAAAACTAACCAATAAAACACAAGAGTAACTCAAGTTCACCAGAGGAGGATGATTTCAGTGTCTTGAAGCAGGTCCACATTCAAGGTAGCACCAGACAGCTAAATAGATACTTAAAGCATGGATACTACTACCATGGATGCACTTTCTTTTCAAGTCATTTCTTGAAACGTGGCGCCAACATGGCACCAGTTCCTATACAATCAGTATCTACCGAAATGAATCACAGTGCAGATTTTGGTGCCAAATAAATACCTGTTGGTTGAAATATTTGCTCTCTAGTGCTGTGAAACAGATGATACAGGCAACAGAAGTGTCACTGCACGTCACTTGCTAACACTATCATTACAGTTAGGATGCTTTCTATTTACCTGGACGTCGGAGACATAACAGGTGAATCAACCATGGACAGATTATCTATTTGACTAAATGCAGAAATACCACCCTAGAAATACATGTTACCCACTGGAATTAATTTCACTATTTGTGAATGTTTTGTGACTCGACCGCATATGGAATGCTACAGTGCAAAAGTGGGCAGGGCTTGTGGGTGTCTTAAATCACTCACTTCACACCTCAATTTAATGGAGAAGCAGTGTAGTTTTTTAAAGCCATAATGCTATTTTCTGACATCTAGAGTTCAGTGATTTGAATGGATGACTGTTTTTACACTTAAAAAAAAAAAAAAAAACTAATTTGGCATTGGCATCGTGTTATTTAGGGTATTTCAGTTGCAAGTAACATCAACAAATTTCTGCAACTGTGAACCATATCATGGGGGTAAACACAGCAGAGTACAATGATATTTGATACTGCTGATATACAATGGTCAGTGATTTTAGTAGAAGGATATGTATTTTCAATTATTTATCAACAAACATAACGCATCACTGGTCCAGAGAAATGTAAAGAAAAAAATTGTCAAGTACTTTAAGTTGAAAGATAATTCCCAGTTACTCTTAACCAGTGAAACTCAGAGAGACGAGGTGGTCCAAGTGGATACAAAAAACCATGCTGGTTTATTCAAAGGATCACAGGTAAAATTAACATGACATGCTCAGGTATCCTTCACCTCCAATACTGCGCGCAGCAGATGAAGAATACCCCAAACCCAACAGGCCTGTACATTATATCTGGTTTGGGCTAACCCCATTCTACACAGGCACGTCAAACCGTGGCGTCACCTGATATGCCAGCTTTACAGCTGACCGTAGCAGTAGTCAAAACATGGAGAAAATCAATGTGTGTGAGTGTTGATTAAGTGGTGTGTATCTAAGAACATACAGGACATTCAGGGACATGTCCGGACATTAAGCCTAGGAAGATATTATGATTAAGATTACGGCTGAACATATCATACAGTAGCCACTTTCTATCTAGTTATCCTTGCCCATGTACACCCTGCTAAAATCTCATGACAATGACTAAGCGTTTAAACAGTCTAACTAGACATCCTGTCTCCACTAAACATTTCTAATACAACAAGTACCTAATCAATATCTATCTGACAAAAAATACCTAACAAAGTAAATTTTAAATCTTTACTTAAGGAGAAATATCGGCGTGGTATTTTTACTGGAGTACATTTTTGTTTGTGTAATGTGTACATTCATGTTAAGTACAGTTTTTGAATACTTCATTCAGCACTGTAAAAGATCAACTTAGAGCAGTGGAATACTCAGTATGACATGAATGAAATTAGTAGAATGCAAATGTCTATTATGGTGAAATTGTAGTACAGGTAATTTCACACAGCTTCAATGCTTTTTGCCAAGCCTTTGTAAAGTAATTATCTTTATTTCTGAGCCATTATTTAAATACAGGCTTTTTATGGAAAATGTTGTCAGCATTACTCAAACAAAACCTTATAAGAGACCATGTAGGCATCAATGTAGGCATGAAGCATCTGGTCCACAGGGCTGTAATTCAGGGCATAAATGTTGGGAGCCATCTTTTTGATGAAGATGCCAATGTTGAACCTCTCTGCCCCTGTCACGGTGTCAAACGAATAGAAGATCTCCTCTGTGCCCTTGTTGACATATCGTGTGGCGTAGAGCACGCCACAAGCCATGAAGGTGTTGGTCACTGCCTGCTTGTAGACCGAGGTGTGCCAGGTTTGGCCAAGACTCAGCGGTTCACCCTCCTCCACCTTGGACAGCACCAGGTTGCCAAAGTCCTGGGTGGTGGTGTAGATCACCCATACACCAGACTCATCTGTTGCCAGGTCCATGTCAGTGAA